AACGTGGTTTTTAGTTTTTAGAGAGTTGTTTGAGTGAGCCGAAGTATGTGTTGTCGTGAAAATGGACAGCTGTTATAAAATATATTTTTTTGAAAGCCATTACGCCTACCCAAATTAAAGTTGAGTAAGACTCTGTCTATGGGGACCCTGGGTCGTCATTTTCCATAGTAAACTTTTGGGCGTCCAAAAAATAAAAACAGCTAAGAAAGTGATGGCGACTGTTTTTTGGGATAGCCATTAATCGATTACCCTTAAAAAAGGAAAAACCATTACAGGAGGATATTACTTGACAAGTTGAGGACAGAAATTGCGGAAAACGGCCGCATTTGCAAAAAATATCTCATACTTTTGAACTGCTTCACTATTCGCCTTACTCACCAGATCTAGCCCCGAGCGAGTTCTTTTTGTTTCATCATCTAAAAACTGCGTTTGAAGCTCAAAAAAACAGGAGGCAATCACCTTCGTGAACAATTATTTTGCGAAGAAAAACGCTGGGTACTTTTTGGAAGGGTTCGAAATATAGGAGCATCGCTGGGAATATGGATGATTGCAACTTTGCATTTTTTACTCTAGTGTAGTTTCTACTTCGTATATTTGTATTTTATCGTACGTATACGAGCAGCTGGTAAAAAAATAGGCCATCCGTCCACACAAAGGGAATAAAAATTACGAGTTCAAGTTCGCGGTAACCAAAGCAACGTCAGACGAAAATTCTGCCTTATGAGCGAAGTGCCAACTGTTTAAGCAAAATAATCTAGATAAGCGAGGAGTTTGTTTAACGATATAGTCCCGGGCTGCGGGGGGCTTTGCGGCGTTTTTTCGAACTCGGTCTCATACAATTCGGCTTGTCTCTGTACGCGCGCGTTTGCAAATGGCGCCTCGTAGCATTAACAAAATGTCTGGGAATTTCGCGTAAGTACGGGTCCCGACGCGTAACCTGGCGGCACACGTCGACTAATTTTCGGATGATTGCGTTTTTAATGGCGGAGCGCGCGAAACTAATCGATTTTCCGGCGGGTCGCGGAGGGTCGAAACGTCGCGACCGGTCTCCGAGTTAATTGCTAAGTAAATTTGTCGAAGAATTAGAAAGTTATTTTTCGAATTCCTGCGCGTGCAGGAATTCCGATCGGTCCGCCGTTCTCTTGAAATTTGAGTTCGGACACACAATAGCGTAACAAAGATGGGATAACTTGAAATAAAACACCAAATTAGACACGTGAACACAAAAGGAAATTAAACTTGCTTCATTTCTTTTTTTTTAGAAAAGATGTTTGAAAGCCAATTTAATATACTTTCATTAATCTTTTCCTATTGCTAAAAACAAATATAGTTATTGACAATTAGCAACTCAACACTTATTTTTTAATAATGGGTATGACCCCCTCTTGCCCTAACATCTAAACATCTCTTACTCGATTAGGAATAGATCTAATCAAGTTCGTCACTCTTCCTCTGCTGCAACATAACTCTAAAACCGACTTCTGTAATGTAATCTTGCGGTGGGCGGCCTAGCAATGTCATGCATAAAAATGAATTCTTCTCCAATGTTGTCGGTAATACGTGATGTGATAAAATATCTAGCTGTAGCTCCACCACCTCCATAAGGGCTCCGCTTTTCAGTGGAGCATTCTGCAAATCGCTCTCCTGGTCTTCAGTACACTTTTTTTCGTCGGTCACTGGTCTCACCTGAGAACACATTAGACTTGCATTGGTCCAATGTCCAATGGAGATGATTCTGTGCAAAGCGTAGACGTGCTTATCGATGAGCTGCAGTAAGAAGCCGTTGTAATTCGCCTTCTGCCTGTTCCAGGGCGCCTACTAAAGGATCCAGCCCCTCAATGCCATTGGCATTCTCTCCGAACTGCTGCGCGTCATATCCAGTTAATGAGCAATAGCCTGCTGGCGAAGTCCACTTTTGACTAAAGCGATAACTTCAAAGGCTTTGTGCGGTATAGTAAGCGTCAAGCTAACACAATTAAATGCTGTCCAAATGGTAAAAACGAATAATGTGATAATTCCAGTTGCAACGGCGATTAATTTAAGTGTATAACAAGTTTGTTACTATCACTATAACTACTGCATGAACACGCAAGTTTATTAAGTGATGGAAGAAACACTGCACATTCAAGAAAAGTATGTATTTTGTATTTTTTTAGTTAGTTTTTAGTAATATTAAGCCCACTTCAATACAGTAAAGGAAATTTTTGCCCTATGCGATAATTTTTATACTTAAAAATTATAGCATAGGACTGACTTTTACAGCTATGGAATTTGTACTTTCCAGCAAGACAACAAGAAGCAACAAAAACATCCCCAGCCAGGGTTGACCAATCCCAGAAACAGACCAGATATAAAACATAAATTTGAGGCGAGGAAATACCTAACTTGCTTTGGCAAACACGAAGGAGTTGTGGGGAAAATGAAAGATGTATTGGAAAATTTTGGAAATATATCGATCTGAGGATACTGTTTAAACAGAAATCTTACAGATACATGGGGCAAATAGCTTTAAGTAATGATTTTCTAAATATTTGATGTGACGCTATTCTAACAAACAGGATAGACCCCAACTTTCAAGTACAGTTTAGGAAGAAAACAAGCAAAATGTCATTTTTCTCGACCTTTTTAAATTGTGACCCACACGATCTACTCGTTTAAGGTTGTAAATAAAGCGGATACAAGAATTCCGTACTTTCTGTAATTTATATTTACTTAAAACGTCGAAGCACTACTAATTGGACAACATAAATTAGTTTATATTAGAGTCAATAATAAATGGCGCTCGGCTGGACGCTTACCACTTTCCCTTAGTTCAGTGGATGAAAAATCAGCAACAATTCAAACAAAACACTTGGAGCGTAAAGTTAATTGGCAGAAATTAGTACGTACGAAAATAATTGGTGTCATCCAGATTTTCCAGGTCAGCAGAAAAAAAGAAACACCCCAAGTTTGTTATTGGTATCGACTGTTCTGCATTCTGAAGAATATTTAAATCAATGATATAATCTGTTGGTTGATGTAACGGGTTCTCAATCCTGTTGTATGGAGTAGAATCTTGGATAACCTTAAAAAAGCTGGAAGCTTTCGAAATGTGGGTGTAGTTGGATAGATCGGGTCACTAACATAGAAGTCATGAACAGGATGAAGAAGAATAGAGCTAACATCAAGCTTAAGAAACTCTCATACTTCTACCATGTTTTGAGACATTCTGAAACACACAACATCCATTTGATCATTCAGGGCAAGATTGAGGGAAGACGAGACCTAGGGAGAAGAAGAACACCTCGGCTGAAAAAGCTACGATAGTGGTTCGGACAATCAACTAATACGCTGTTTAGGACAGTGGTAAATAAAGTATTGATAGCCAACATGATTGCTAACATTCGGTAAAAAGGGAGAGTTGCCTCTTCTCCGTCTCTTTCTTGCAGGGTCGAAAACAATCGAAAAGTCTCTTATTCCTACGGACAAAGAAGTGGCAAAAGCTGGAAAGCTTCCACGTAATAGCGGAAATTCTAACTTACCAAGCCAAGACAGGCAAGCAATTAGAAGAAACCAAAAACCCTTTAACCAAATAAACAATATAACTATATATAACTTGCCAGAGGAATACAATATCGTTGAGCGAGTTGAGGTACACCGACCAAATAGCGAAGCTACTAGCAACTCTGTCTCTGTTTCACGCACAAGACTCTGGGGTAAAATACGGCTCATATTGTTCAGCTTTGGCAGGAGTAAAAATCAAACAAGATGTTTAACCGTCATTCATTTCCAGTTGAGTTTGAAGCGAAGCCCCCACGGAACCAAAAAGAGCTAGAGAGTGAGAGAGAATTTGGTTTAAATTTTCGCATCTAGTCTGAAGCTCTAGCATAAAATTTCATTTGCTTTTCAATTAGAAGAATTAAACCTATTCAGGATTGAATATTTCTGACTATAGGGCAATAAAAATTCGTGGTAGGGTCTCGTTTCCTCAATTCCTAATATTTTCGATGCTCGTTGATGCCGCTAGTGTCACAACACAACGGAGTATTTGTTCCTGCTTTCGATAAGTCCTTGTTTATTTGAAACTTGATAACGCGGGTCGGTTTTGTACTTTTCGATTGTCGCTTAAGTTTTTTTATTATTAAGCTCGGCTATTTTGATCGCGAGAAGTAATTGGTGCGTTGTAATTCGGATTTTCAGGGAATTTTGTATTCCCCAGTTAGGTCAGTGCGTCGGAGCTTCTTTTTCCATAAACGCGTGCGTATTTGTTTTTGTTAAGGTCTAAACGTATCTCATTTATTGCTAGGGAAACCGCATCGTTCCTATTTAAGGATTATAGCGTACTATAACTTTTTGCGCTGTTTTCAGAGTGAGACCAAGATAAAGTTGTAGGCTGATGATCCATTTGCTATTACAGGGCTAGATAGTCAAGAAAAATTGAAATAATCACAATTTCAATTACCTAAACGTTTATTCAGAAAAATGTGATTTGTGGGTATGTATTTTTCTTTTTGTAAATGCAGCAGTAAAAAAAAGTTGCCACCTTCAATAAATCACTACCACCATAATGTGGTACTTAGGGCTTTATTTTTCATTTTTTAAAAATTGAAATTTATGAAGTCGCTATCTTTGCCATTTCCAAATTTTACGAATGACATTTAATTCTGTTATTGGTTAATGACAACTAATTTTCACATATTTCAGATGTTAGATTTAGAATAAATAGTAAAAGTAACCTTATCGGCGAGATTTGCAGTCTAGATGGTTAGAATTGCCATTTTTTGGAGCATGTAGTAAAACTAATTTTAGCACTGGTCAAGTTCTTCGCATTAGAATTTTGAAACTTAGAAGAAGAAATATATTCAAAAAAAGTAAACAAGTGTTTAAAAAACAATTTTTTAAAAAATTGTCACGCCATAGATAAAAAAATATTGAATCGTCAACGCCCGCTTGGTGTTGCTTGAAATTCGAAAAAAATTGAAAAACTATTTTAAAGTATACCGGTTCCGAAAAACACTTACCAAAAAAACATCAAACACCAAATAGTCCGGGGAAACGATAAACAACACACAATATATCAACAAATATCCCAACGTCAAAAACTCAACGGCAGCGATAATAATAAAAACAGTAAAGAAAAAAAAACAAAAAAAAACACTCGGGGGTGGCGGAGGAGGAAGTCACATTACCGCGTAGTCGTTTCGGCGCCGAAAAACGCGTGCACGGTCGCACACACAGCACACTGCGATGGGGGTTTTACGACTGCTACCGGAGCCCGTCAGCTTCGATCGCGTTCGGTCGTCGATTGTCGACTGTTCGGCGGAACGGTCACCCACTGCCTACTTTGACCGAGCGACGGTGGGTAAGCTCGATGCTGATTCGCCCGTCGGTGTACTGCCTCCCGACTGTCCCCCACCACCACCCACGGACGTTTTCGTGGGTACCCTGTCGTCGTTCACCTTTTGGATTGAACTAGTACGCCAGTGCCGAGCAGCAGAGTGATACAGTTTTTTTTGGGAAAACCGCTAATGCAATAATGTGCATTTGTCCAAATTACACGAGGCACCGGCGACGAACACTCGAAAGCGGCCGAAACATTTATCCAAATAAAGATAGAGGTTAAAATACAAGTGTAAAAACGGTTCAGATAGCAATTTTTATTTTACAATTGGACCTTTTAAAATAGGTATCTTTAAGTAATGGCCGTTGTTCTTTTCTAAAATTTTAATGCAATTTCAATTTTTTCATACTTTTTATCCTGATAACTACTTAGGTAACTTTTACTTTTTGATTCTTGGGTATTCTAGGCAGCGGGTTAATTTTTTGCATAATCCAAAGTGTTTTAATTGACAACCATAACCTCAAAATAGTCGCAGCTGAAGCATTGGATAAAGATATTGATAAATCATATTGCTTATTGAATAAATTTAAAAATCATCAACAATTTTAGCTGTGAGAACGATTGGGCATACGAACTCCAAACCGCAATATCGAAAAAAAAATTGACCAAATCCAACGGAGAAACTTTTATTAGTGGTTGTTTCCCATTGGTCATTTTTTCAAATTCAATATCTCTCAAATGTTATTTAAACCATCCGTTTTATGCACGCCTTATATATCGTTCTTAATTATACTTAGATTTTAGCGATATGGCCTCGATATCTTTCCAGTTTTTGAGACTGACGAGACAAAGCAATAAAGAAAAGAAAAAAGCAGAAAATGACTGAAGGAGAGGTCAAGAAATAATACAAACACATATGATATTTCAGATGAGTTGTAGACGATAGATCAGAGGATGGAGGATAAAAAAATCGTTTTAGTTCACGTCATTTAAAAAAATAAAAAGCTACCAAAACGGATTCTATCCTTCATTCCTTTAATTTTATAAAGATGTGGTAGAGATAGAGAAAGATATATTTAAATAAGATATATATTATATAATATATTTATATAAGACTATATTACTAATGACAAGAATATTTCCGAGTGCGAACTTCTCAAAGTGGCACTTTCTGGACGCTTGCATGGTCTGTGTATAATTGCATATTTTGGCGTAGGGAGTAGAAAAAAGAATTTTACCAATAAAATGAGGTGCCCGAAGAAAAGGAAATTTCTAAAATAATTTTAATTTTTAAAAAATAAGTCAAAATTTCACTGGCCCTAAAAATATATTTCACTGTTTTTTTTTTTCGGAATTCCACTGTACCTCATTCATACTGTACACCATAATTCATCTGCGATTTACAACTCGAACTTTTCTTATTAACAAAACTCACAGAAATAAAACGCAAGATATTCAAAAGACAAACAGAGAGAAATCGCAAAATAAATATAGGACTAAAATCATTTTCCATAAATCAATTACATTACGGTCTGTTATGCCCCTGAGACTAACACTTTTATTCTAATTGTCTTTATAGACGTCCTTTATTACCGCAAAATAGCCCAGTTTAATCAAAATCAGAAAAAAGGTTTCTGGATATTTAATAAATAAAAAACCGTTTTTTTTTTAATAAAAACTTTGACAGCCTGTATATCGAAAACAAATTAAGTTAGGACATATGCTATTTTATCTGAAAACCCGATCTTAGGCGTTTGACGGTGTAACCCCGTGCACCCTATATATATACCTACCTAATCACTTAGTTATAAGACCACAACCTTGTGTCGATCTGGCAACATCAGCAATTAAAGAGCTGATAAAGGAAAGCTGCAATTTTTACGGGTCATTGCGTACTTACCAAACACCAATGGGTTTGCGTAACACTCCCACGTGCAGGGTTTGCGAACTAGGCTTGATGTTCTCTTTTGAGGAGGAATCACCAATGGGCCTGTTGATCCATAAGGCGCATCACTAGTGATAAGTGATTGAGGTTCACCACTTTTTATTTCTTTCCATGCTCGAGATAGTTTTTACACAAACCGGCTTAAGAGAAAGTCCCGCAGGTTCGTTTCAGAACCGGCAACACCTTAATACGACCCCTGGGGGTTGTCAGCCCCAGGTGTGAAAATTACAGGGCCGAGAGCGGTTCCCTGGGGTGCGCCTTTATTTCGAGCGCGGTCGTATCGCGTTTTCAGTGTTTCGCAACGCTTATTAATATCGAAAGGATTTTTTACCTCTGCGCCCCATCAATAAATAAATCTGTCGCGAATGTGTAGCACGAAAATCCTTCTAGATAAAACACTCCCCGCAATGGAGGCGCGGATGAAAAATCGACGCGATTAATTCGAATGACAAACAACAGTTACCGTTAAAACGTAACTCTGGTAAATTTATTTAAATGATCCTCGGGTAATCTGGACGACGATTTTTTAAACAACGACAAGTCCGATAACGCGTATATGTTTCACGGAATCGAAAACCTACGTCCGACAGATTAAAAATATCGATGATATCGATTGGGAAAGGAACGAATCGATGGGTGTCGGGTCGAGAACGCGCGTGATTTTCGTCAAATTCGCAATGAAAATTCGAAATTATGAAATCAAATTTCGCGCTTAAAGGTGGCTTTACACGGACGTCTCAACGCCGGTAATAATTAAATAATAATAATTTAATATTTGTGTAATTAAAAAAAGCCAAAAAATTTAATGTGTAAACTGTTATTTACAATTATATATGTTAGCACCGCTTCGCTTCGTATCTTTTTTTTTGGGACTTGCAAAGAAGGACATACCTAGAAAACGTGTATTCATAAAGTTATAAGCTTTTTACCCTAAGATATTCCGGAACCAATAAGTATAAAAGACATAAAAATGCAATAAAAATCTTTCTGTTTGAAATAGATAGGAAGAAAATCCTTATAAGATTAACAATTTTGTTACTTACTTATCTAAAATAAATTTTAACAACTTAAACAATTAATTTTATAAGTTACATTTGATTTTGATTGTTTCATTTGTGTTCTACCTAGTACCTTGAAGATTGTTGTGCTCTTGGTTCTAGATATATATTTCGTTTCCCTTTAAAATTACAAAATTGATGTCGGCCGTTTTCGGACAAAAATAAAACACGAATCTGCAAATCGAGAATGTCACCGCTGACGTCAAAGCGTTTGACACGCCGAAACGGACGATAACATTGCGGCGTGGCGGGGAGAGGGAAGACCGGTGGCGGTTGAGGAATTAATATCGATCTTAAGTGGGTGGAATTGGATGTTTTATTAATATGGCCCCCCGGGGTCAAATGGAACTGATTAAATGCGTCTCGTTCGACCGAGGAATCTTTTTTATTCGACGCTGCATTTTTTCAGCCTATTGATCGTTAACTTGGCAACACGGGACACCCTGTAAGGGACCGAGCTAAAACCGAAGTTCACCTAGAGTATTTACACAAAGTATGTTTCAACGAGATTTTATCAAGAGAAGACTCAAAAACTTCGAATATACGGTATTTTGTAAGTTATACCTATTTGGAATTTTAAAAAACATGTTTTTTAAATGACAAATTATTTTAATACTATTTACTAATCTTCTGTCGTTTGTTAGTCAACAGTTAACAGTTATTAAATAAAAGCTGTTATTGCCGATGTTACTTCTTATTAATGTTCGATTTAAAATAAAATATTTAAATGCGTTCGAATATTTGTTTGTCAGAAAATTCGGTATGTTTTTGATATTTTGTTATGTAATTTATGTGAAATAATACTTTTTGGTATAAAAGTAAGTGCGTGATTTAATTTTTCAATCGAAAAGGCAAAACAAATCAATTTAAAATAAGTATAAATATGTTTTCTTATTATTCGTACATCGTCCGCACAATTAGTTATTAGGGCTCGTATATCATCAATAACTAACTCATTTGAACTATCATTTTGTTATCTTTTGTTGATGATTCTTCGTTTTTCATTTTTTTATTTTTCTCTGTTCTATATATATAGGTCATATTGCAAAACGGCACATAAGACTTGAAGACCAAAAATTAGAGTAGTCAACCAGAAAAGTTTATTTATAATCTTCAAATGGTCTCTTATGCCTGTAAATAATAGGTTTATATAACTTATTCGTAATTAAAGCAAACATCGAATATAAAAGAATTATCCCGCACAACTTTTGACGTTACTAATTTTAAGGCTCATCAAATTTCCGACATGTAAATGTAATGTACATGTAACTTTTTTTATTATTATGAAATTTGTAAAATTGTCTTCGTTTTGTTTCTCAGTCTCTTTTTATGGCCTGTATGCTTTTCATTTATAATTCTAAACACTACTTCAAATTATAAAATGGAAAGGTATGAGGAACCAGAATCCTTATTTGCTTCTATAGACCTTTAATATTTTTCAAATTTTTGGTTCATTTGTTTCGCCGAAACACAAAAATTTATATATTTTTGAGGGAACTTCGTCTGAATTAAGTATAGTATTAACGTCATTATTATCCGGCTCTCGCATAATTTACTGTCGGAATCTATTCTTTCGAAAATTCTCCCACAGTCGTCCCCCTCGCCATTTTCGACCCCCCCCACCTCGCAATTTTTGAAAGAATACCGGTTCCGTTTTCTCCCGTCCGGAACAAACTTCCCACACCAAATTCGAAAAATTTCCACACAGGTGATATATACCCACCATTGTCCTTGCGTAAGATAATGCAAAAATCTACCCCCTTTTTCTTTTTAATAACGATTTCCCCGTACGCAACACCCTCGGACCGTTTCGGCGGGAACCCGAAATCCCAGCTGTCTCGTGTACGATCAGCTGATCGAGATTCTTTCTTTTTCTTTTCGAAAGCATCTCTCGCGCAGGGTCCTCGAGATAGAGTGGCGACAGGACGCGTAAAGACAGTCGCACACCGGAGTATTAACAATATAAAACTGATCCAACG